CTGCAGTCCTTCCCTTGATGGACTCCACCTGACAGTCGGACTAGGCAGGCCTGTCAGGAAGGCAGGCGGCAGGCCGGGAAGGGATTTGCAAGCAAGATAATCAGTGATCGATTGGAAGGCCGGGCACCCCACCAGCCTTCTTGAGAGGAGATGGACTTCCTGGCGTTCTGGAATATTTACCGATGGGTAGTAGGCTGCATATGAGGGCCCAGGACTTCTGCTTCCCCATCTTCCTGTTCCCTGCTTCAGGGAAGCCCTCTGCACTCAGGTGAGGAGGGAGGAAGCCCACCCCCTCCTGCCCACCCCCCACTCTCAGTGCCCCACCTGACACCTCTGCCCACAGAGGGTGTCCACTCTCCTGAGCGAGGGCCCAGAGCCGCCTGCCCCCGCCATCCGGAGAGCCCCCTCCTAGGAGGCCTCTGCCTGCAGGGGGCGCCCGCCACCCAACAGCAGCTCCGGGGAGCGCGAAGCCCCAGCTCCTGGGCATTCATCATCATTATCAAACGTGTCCCGCTTCCAGACAGGCTATAAAGAGAACCGGGGACGTGTGCCCCAGCGTCAGGGAAGTGTGGAGTTGTTGTTTTCATTATTCTCATTATTAATTTGTTTACATCTCACTTTGTGCCCAGAGGGTTTGCTGGGAGGAGTGGAGACGCCGCCTGGTGCCTCGGCTGTGTCCCATCTGGAGGCGGCCAGCCAGGAGGCGGATGGAGGAAGGCAGGCGTGTCCAGCCTCAGACTGGCTGTGGCCGGGCAGCCAATGACCTTCTGTGGCCTGGGGAGGAGTCTGCGTGGCCAGGGGACCTGCTCTTCAGCACGCAAGTCCCTGCTCCCAGAGATTCAGTCCACCTCTGCTGCCCGGGGCCCCACGCGTCCAGCCCTGGAGTTAGTGCCAAGGCTCTTTAGATCCCTTCTCCTGGGACAAGCCAGGTGGCTGAGGGGCTGTTAGCTGAGGGTGTGGACAGAGCCCCGTCTGGGTGCTCCCAGAGGCCAGGGCTACTCCTCATGCAGGGCAGAGAGGGGTGTGGGGGCTGGACTGGGTCAGGCCCAGGGCCTGGACCAAGCCCTCCACTGCCATGCATGTCCCCAAGCTGAACTTCGGGAGCCCCAGGGATCTAAAGGAGGTGCCTTCTTTAAGCTGGAGGGTAGAATGAGCTTCCTGGAGCAGCGGGTTAGTGTGACTTACCTGCCGATTCCTCCTGCACCAGGCTGGGGCGGCCTCAGTGGGCCAGAGGCCCCGCGAGTGCAGGGCGGACGGGTTCTCTCCCTCCTGGGCTCCGTGGTTTACAGTGGGCCACCCAAGTCCTGGGCGCCCGTGAGCCAGGC